GGTAATTTTAAACACATATTAGCTTTTAATACAACCAGAAATGCATCTGTTAATTTTACATTATTTCCCCACAGTGCAAATCTTCAATCTCCGTCCAAACTGTTATCACATGCTGTATGAGCTGTAATCCTTCTCTCTATGCTATAAGCTGTATACTACTACCTTGATACTCTCTCACCTGCCTATTGACTGTTATCACATGCTGTATGACGCTGTAATCCTTCTCTCTATGCTATAAGCTGTATACTACTACCTTGATACGCTCTCACCTGCCTAGATAAGATAATAAGATAAGATAATATTTATTGCAGAAACGTTCCATTACGGGACAGATGCAATTTTAAAAGACAAGACATTATGATTTATATATACATATATACAGACAAACATAATTTACATTCCTGTAGACACATACAAAAACAAAATAATCAATATTACATATTTTTATACATAAAATGTCAACGGTTGATTATGAGGGGGTATTTATTGTTTGAAATTATAGATGTGGAAACAAATGCAGTTGATATTGACTGCTTCATTATTTGACAGGATGTATTGAAATAATTTTTCTTCATGACTGTGGACATTTACATTTACATTTTGTCTGGATAGTTTTAGTGCCTATTGACTGTTATCACATGCTGTATGACGCTGTTATCCTTCTTTCTATGCTATAAGCTGTATACTACTACCTTGATACGCTCTCACCTGCCTATTGACTGTTATCACATGCTGTATGAGCTGTAATCCTTCTCTCTATGCTATAAGCTGTATACTACTACCTTGATACGCTCTCACCTGCCTATTTCTCCCATCTGGTTTTTGCCTCACACATTCTTGGGTTTCTAATTTGATCTCTCTGGCAGGTAGTGACGACCTTTCAACTTGCGTAACTGTTCTACTTCCACACTATTCTTGGCTCTGCGTAGAATCATACAGCACTTGGATTGAAACCTGACATGTTGTCGGCCATTGTGATCTGCTTTATCTCAGGGGAACATGTTTCTGGTGTTTGTTTTATTTACACAGTTTTGATGTTTTTGAGAAAATTGATTTGTATGATTGCACCCAACCCCTAAACTCACAAAGATGGAAAACAATCAAAGAGCCGACATTATCTCGCAAAGTAGACTACAAAAAGGAAAGTTCATCTTTGTTTATTATTCAAAGAAATATCTCTTTGAAAAGATGTATTTTTGTAATTCTATTTTCATATTTTGCAACTAATCTCAATGAAGCCAAGATTGACCTTTGGATTTCAACTTCATGTTTATTGATTTACTGTGGCGTTTAGGTTTTGGAACTTGATGAAGGACATTTACTTAAGAATTTGCTTCAATAGTTTTTTTCATTTACAGAAGTATAAACATGTGCATTGTGCATCCATGTAGCCAAAACATATTGGTCAGTTCTTACAAATAAATAAAATGAACAATTATTAACTCACAGCATTTATTCATAAACAAAATAAAAAACTGAAGTCAACAGTATGAAATCAGTGTCATCATTCAGAGCAATAATGCAACGCAAGCCCCAGTAATTTGATTATCAGCCAATCAGGAAACAGTAGTCTGCTAGTGGGCGGAGCCTCCTCCTTGTCTGGCTACTGCTAACATAAACACACAAACATTTCTTGGTTAGCCAATTAAATGTCGTGGAATTTCTTACAATTTATTTACTGAAATGACACTGATACTGGCCATGTTGACCTAATATTTGAAAAAAATGCAAATTCCAAAATGAAGTGCCAATCAAAAGCCTTCATGTACAAACAGACGGAACCAGGAACATGTGATAAGCACTATACAGGACGTACGCAGACAGTCTAGTACCCGGAAGTGTGATCACCTGGGCTCCCCCTGGGCTCCTGGGTAAACACAGCCTCCTTAAACCTCAAAAACTGGAAACATTGTAACAGAAGTGATATTGCACCATATACATGACAAACACTACGCTGTTCAGTATTCCCAACAGTAGTCTCATTCTGATCCAGTGTTTGAAAACCCCTACAAGACAGTCGGGCAGGTGACCCATAAGTGTTGCCTGCCAGTCTTCAAAGTTACCTGCCGCCATTCAGACATTACCAATATTGAAAAAACACAAAAAAATAAGAGACAAAGCGTGTCTTGATTCAGCTGAAAAAAATGCAAAAAATTGCTTTGAATCTACAAGGAGTTATAATAACACTGAATATGTAAGTAGTCAAATATAATCTACCACAAAGTCAAGCAGGGGAGGAAACATTTCATTCAGCCCAACAGAAAAGTTACCCGACCATGGGGAGGCGGGGAGGCAGTTATTTTGGACACTGTTCTGACATGATTTGTTCACCAGGTAAATACACTTACCGCAGGGCTATCCTCATCCCGAGAGTGTGTGGTCGGGTAGCCTAGTGGTTAAAGCTGTCGCTCCTCACACCGTAGACCCGGATTCGATTCCCACATGGGTACAATGTGTGAAACCCATTTCTGGTGTTCCCTGCCGCAATATTGCTGGACTATTGCTGGCTAAAAGCCGTGTGAAACCATACTCCCTCACTCACTCATCCTGAGAGGATCAACTTCCACATGATGTGGCTCTGTTTTAACACTGAAATGTATAGAGTATTTACAGACCATACCAAACCAGCTCCGTATTTAGAACGTCCACGATCAGTAAGGCCTAAGTAGTTGATCCTATTAACTCATATTGACATATAATCTGCCAGGAAATATCGGAGGAAATAGAGTGCACATGTTCAGCTGGGAGGGACGGTGACGGGCTCACATTCTAAAGTGTGGCTACAATTACTATTTAGAGAATAAAAAAGGGAGCCACTTTCTGTAGTGTTGCCTGAAATGACTGTTGTATTAGGTTACATAATTCTATAAGTGGTGTGAGAATGTGGAGCAAAGGCCCTGGCACTCTGTCGTTGGTGCATACAGGGAGACAGCCAGTGTGTTGTCCTTTGTACAGGGAGACAGCCTGTGTGTTGTCCTTTGTACAGGGAGACCATCAGTGTGTTGTCCTTTGTACAGGGAGACATGCTGTGTGTTGTCCTTTGTACAGGGAGACAGCCAGTGTGTTGTCCTTTGTACAGGGAGACAGCCTGTGTGTTGTCCTTTGTACAGGGAGACAGCCTGTGTGTTGTCCTTTGTACAGGGAGACAGCCAGTGTGTTGTCCTTTGTACAGGGAGACAGCCTGTGTGTTGTCCTTTGTACAGGGAGACAGCCAGTGTGTTGTCCTTTGTACAGGGAGACAGCCTGTGTGTTGTCCTTTGTACAGGGAGACAGCCTGTGTGTTGTCCTTTGTACAGGGAGACAGTCAGTGAGTTGTCCTTTGTACAGGGAGACAGCCTGTGTGTTGTCCTTTGTACAGGGAGACAGCCAGTGTGTTGTCCTTTGTACAGGGAGACAGTCTGTGTGTTGTCCTTTGTACAGGGAGACAGCCAGTGTGTTGTCCTTTGTACAGGGAGACAGCCAGTGTGTTGTCCTTTGTACAAGGAGACAGCCTGTGTGTTGTCCTTTGTACAGGGAGACAGCCAGTGTGTTGTCCTTTGTACAGGGAGACAGCCTGTGAGTTGTCCTTTGTACAGGGAGACAGCCAGTGTGTTGTCCTTTGTACAGGGAGACAGCCAGTGTGTTGTCCTTTGTACAAGGAGACAGCCTGTGTGTTGTCCTTTGTACAGGGAGTAAGGTTGTCTGTTGATTCCTAGTTAGTTCACGATATGAACCACATGTTTGTCTGGTCCAGACTTGATTATATACCAGCTACAATGACAAAACTAATGTTGCCGTCAAGTTAATCAGCCAAGAAACATTATTCATGCTCTGATTAGACAGATTTGATTTTTTGATAATGATGATCCACACTGAAAATATTGTTGGTAGTGGCGAGGCTGTCAATCAAAGATGCGGCACAGCAGATCGTCATGTTGTGTGATCCGACATTAAATTATCATGAGAAGATTAATTGACATTTCACAGCATGGCACTAAATTTTCATGAATTTCATTGCTGAGGCTCCAATTAGCAAATTTTGTTAAGGAAAATCACGTTTTTGCAGTAAAAAACAATTTTGTGAAAAAAATCTTTCCAAATTCAATTTTCTGCAAAGACATTGGAGAATTACAGCAGGCTGTGCTGGGAGTTGTGTTACTGGTCTGACATTTCAAGGAAAGCCTGTGAATCTGCGCCGTTCCCTTGTTCCATTAGCAGGGAGCCCAGTGCAGGAGAAGGGGACTATTGGATTATATAATCCTCCTCAGGTCCCCATCTCATCACTAGAACAAACACAAAGTCAGCAGTGATATTGCCAGGCAGTCTTTGACATTGATCCAGGCTTGGGGAGAGACTGAGTGAGTTGGCAATACCTCCAAAGTGAGGGGATACCACAGAGGGGAAGGCAATACCTCCAAAGTGAGGGGATACCTCAAGGGGAAGGCAATACCTCTAAAGTGAGGGGATTCTTCAGAGGGGAAGGAAGTACCTCCAAAGTGAGGGGATGCTTCAAAGGGGAAAGCAATACCTTATTGAAATATAAGATGGACACATGACTGCGGCTGATAAAGGGGAGATAACTCAGGAAAGGGTAAATGGAAAGGGACATTACTCAGTAAGAGACCCAGTCACTCTGAGAATCACCTTATGTTGACATGTGTAAAGGAACAAGTTAATACAACTTAATGAAAATCAGTATATGCATGTTGAAAAAGGTTGACATGAGAGGTCAAATATGTCGTATGATCCAGACTCATCCATGGATCTGCAGCCATGCTGCATGACAGCAGTATAAGACTCCCACCACTTTGAAGAACCTTTGAGTGTCAGCGTGATATGGTATTCAGATAAGTAGGGCATTAATGGAAGTGATGACATTAGCCACTAATTACCAGGAGAAAGTGTGTCAAACATTAACTGGCTCAGCTAATCTGTAAGTTCATTCACAACTTCTTGCAGCCATCTCATCATCTGCTCATTAGTTCCAACATAATTCAATTCTTTGTTTTTGTCTTTTCCAGGTCGTTCAGTCTACAGCGGTCCAAATTGGAGAAAGAATATGCTCAGGTAAGTCGGATGTTTCATGATTCCACGTGCGATTACGCTGTGTGTGTTTCCTGCTATCCTCGTGGCTGGCAGTTTCAGCCACTTCCCCAACATGTAAACACGGCCACACTTTACTGACATGTAAACACGGCAACACTTCAACAACTTGTTAACATAGCCAGACTTCACTTGTAACTGTGTACAAATCTTCCAGCTACAACATTGTTGATAGTACGACCATCGTAACTCTGTGTACAAATCTACCAGCTACAACATTGTTGATAGTACGACCATCGTAACTCTGTGTACAAATCTATCATCTACAACATTGTTGAATACGACCATCGTAACTCTGTGTACAAATCTACCAGCTACAACATTGTTGATAGTACGACCATCATAACTCTGTGTACAAATCTATCATCTACAACATTGTTGATAGTTCAACCATCGTAACTCTGTGTACAAATCTACCAGCTACAACATTGTTGATAGTACGACCATCATAACTCTGTGTACAAATCTATCATCTACAACATTGTTGATAGTTCAACCATCGTAACTCTGTGTACAAATCTACCAGCTACAACATTGTTGATAGTACGACCATCGTAACTCTGTGTACAAATCTATCATCTACAACATTGTTGATAGTTCAACCATCGTAACTCTGTGTACAAATCTATCATCTACAACATTGTTGATAGTTCAACCATCGTAACTCTGTGTACAAATCTACCAGCTACAACATTGTTGATAGTACGACCATCGTAACTCTGTGTACAAATCTACCAGCTACAACATTGTTGATAGTACGACCATCATAACTCTGTGTACAAATCTATCATCTACAACATTGTTGAATACCGACCATCGTAACTCTGTGTACAAATCTACCAGCTACAACATTGTTGATAGTACGACCATCATAACTCTGTGTACAAATCTATCATCTACAACATTGTTGATAGTTCAACCATCGTAACTCTGTGTACAAATCTACCAGCTACAACATTGTTGATAGTACGACCATCGTAACTCTGTGTACAAATCTACCAGCTACAACATTGTTGATAGTACGACCATCATAACTCTGTGTACAAATCTATCATCTACAACATTGTTGATAGTTCAACCATCGTAACTCTGTGTACAAATCTACCAGCTACAACATTGTTGATAGTTCAACCATCGTAACTCTGTGTACAAATCTACCAGCTACAACATTGTTGATAGTACGACCATCGTAACTCTGTGTACAAATCTACCAGCTACAACATTGTTGATAGTACGACCATCGTAACTCTGTGTACAAATCTACCAGCTACAACATTGTTAATAGTTCAACCATCGTAACTCTGTGTACAAATCTACCAGCTACAACATTGTTGATAGTACGACCATCATAACTCTGTGTACAAATCTATCATCTACAACATTGTTGATAGTTCAACCATCGTAACTCTGTGTACAAATCTACCAGCTACAACATTGTTGATAGTACGACCATCGTAACTCTGTGTACAAATCTACCAGCTACAACATTGTTGATAGTACGACCATCATAACTCTGTGTACAAATCTATCATCTACAACATTGTTGATAGTTCAACCATCGTAACTCTGTGTACAAATCTACCAGCTACAACATTGTTGATAGTACGACCATCGTAACTCTGTGTACAAATCTACCAGCTACAACATTGTTGATAGTACGACCATCGTAACTCTGTGTACAAATCTACCAGCTACAACATTGTTGATAGTACGACCATCGTAACTCTGTGTACAAATCTACCAGCTACAACATTGTTAATAGTTCAACCATCGTAACTCTGTGTACAAATCTACCAGCTACAACATTGTTGATAGTACGACCATCGTAACTCTGTGTACAAATCTACCAGCTACAACATTGTTAATAGTTCAACCATCGTAACTCTGTGTACAAATCTACCAGCTACAACAGTCAGTGCAGACAGACATCTCTACTTTTCAATTTAGAAAATAGCATCACATTAAGGGTTATATTGCAGTTTATTGTTCCCACGGCAACAAGTTCCTATGGAAGGATCATCATTGTCAACAGGATGCAGCCACTTCCCTGGCGGTCAATAACAATTTATAAGACCCATCAATAGAACAGAATAGGATTCAGTTAGTTTCATTAAATAACGTTGTTCAAATAACATGTTTGTTGGCTGTTTTTCCCTATCTGGTATTGATTAGTGCACATATCCATTAATCAAGTTGGCGCTGATGGTGTATTGTGTATATGTCCTGTCTCCTATTGTTATACCATGGGTGATTGTGGCCTGGTGGTCAGTACGTGTTTTGGACACAGCCACGATGCGGCCTCCTATCCCAGTGATCTTGTCGTCTCTCCAATGGATTATTTGTCCGTTAAACATACAAAACACTTCTGAGATAACGTGTGATTTGTATAGGTTGTTCAATATGCTGTTTTCTCTGAATATGTGTTATGGGTTGTAAAACTGTTTTGTGAGATTTGATTGTTGTTCTGAGAATCTGTTTTGTAAGTTGTACAGTTGATATTTATGTGTCTTTTTAGCTCACCTGACTAAGCTACAGTGAGGGCATTATATCAGTAAATGCAATGTGTGAAATTTTCAAATGTAAATCTTTAAAAAAAATTTAAAGATTGTTAATGATTGTGCGTCATCATACCCTATCAGCCAGCACCGGTTTGTGATGTTCAGATTATTAAAATGTTGTTGGCCATTTTGAAGTTGGAATATGGGACCTTCACTCACCAGCTGCTCACTGAGTTTATCTGTTCTGGGGCTTGTGATGTTGTGCTTGGTTGGTGCTCCTGCTTCATGGGTTCAAGCCCCAGGTTCAGGCCCCTAGTTGGAAACCCATTCTTGTAGAATTTGATACTAGGAGCATCTTCACACTCAGCTTGTTCAGGTCAAGAAGCTGCTGAAGAATTGTAGAAAGGTTCCTGTTGACCGTGAAGCATGATCTGTCTGCACCAGGTTCAAACCTGAGAGTTCCTCAGTTGGGTGATCTTGATGTTATGTAAGGTGTTCTGTAAGAGATGACATTAAAGGTGGACGAAGCTCGACATTCAGGAACATATCACCAGTGTGGGTCTAGACATTGACGAAGCTCAACATTTAGGAACACATTACCAGTGTGGATCTGGAAATTGACGAAGGTCGACATTCAGGAACATGACACCAGTGTGGGTCGACATTCAGGAACACATCCCCAGTGCAGGTTGACATTCAGGAACACATCACCAGTGTGGGTTGACATTCAGGAACACGACACCAGTGTGGGTTGACATTCAGGAACACATCACCAGTGTGGGTCTAGACATTCAGGAACACGACACCAGTGTGGGTCGACATTCAGGAACACATCACCAGTGTGGGTCGACATTCAGGAACACACCACCAGTGTGGGTAGACATTCAGGAGCACGACACCAGTGTGGGTGGACATTCAGGAACACACCACCAGTGTGGGTCGACATTTAGGAACACATCACCAGTGTGGGTTGACATTTAGGAACACATCACCAGTGTGGGTCGACATTCAGGAACACATCACCAGTGTGGGTCGACATTCAGGAACACACCACCAGTGTGGGTCTAGACATTCAGGAACAGGACACCAGTGTGGGTCGACATTCAGGAACACATCACCAGTGTGGGTCGACATTCAGGAACACATCACCAGTGTGGGTCGACATTCAGGAACACATCACCAGTGTGGGTCGACATTCAGGAACACACCACCAGTGTGGGTCGACATTCAGGAACACACCACCAGTGTGGGTTGACATTTAGGAACACATCACCAGTGTGGGTCAACATTCAGGAACACATCACCAGTGTGGGTCTAGACATTCAGGAACACATCAGCAGTGTGGGTTGACATTTAGGAACACATCACCAGTGTGGGTCGACATTCAGGAACACATCACCAGTGTGGGTCTAGACATTCAGGAACACATCAGCAGTGTGGGTTGACATTTAGGAACACATCACCAGTGTGGGTCGACATTCAGGAACACGACACCAGTGTGGGTTGACATTCAGGAACACGACACCAGTGTGGGTCGACATTCAGGAACACGACACCAGTGTGGGTTGACATTCAGGAACACGACACCAGTGTGGGTGGACATTCAGGAACACGACACCAGTGTGGGTTGACATTCAGGAACAGGACACCAGTGTGGGTCGACATTCAGGAACACAACACCAGTATGGGTCGACATTCAGGAACACACCACCAGTGTGGGTCTAGACATTCAGGAACAGGACACCAGTGTGGGTAGACATTCAGGAACACGACACCGGTGTGGGTCCACATTCAGGAACACGACACCAGTGTGGGTAGACATTCAGGAACACGACACCAGTGTGGGTCTAGACATTCAGGAACACGACACCAGTGTGGGTAGACATTCAGGAACACGACACCAGTGTGGGTCGACATTCAGGAACAGGACACCAGTGTGGGTCGACATTCAGGAACACAACACCAGTATGGGTCGACATTCAGGAACACACCACCAGTGTGGGTCTAGACATTCAGGAACAGGACACCAGTGTGGGTAGACATTCAGGAACACGACACCGGTGTGGGTCCACATTCAGGAACACGACACCAGTGTGGGTAGACATTCAGGAACACGACACCAGTGTGGGTCTAGACATTCAGGAACACGACACCAGTGTGGGTAGACATTCAGGAGCACGACACCAATGTGGGTCGACATTCAGGAACACGACACCAGTGTGGGTCGACATTCAGGAACACGACACCAGTGTGGGTAGACATTCAGGAACACGACACCAGTGTGGGTCGACATTCAGGAACAGGACACCAGTGTGGGTCGACATTCAGGAACACATCACCAGTGTGGGTCGACATTCAGGAACACATCACCAGTGTGGGTTGACATTCAGGAACAGGACACCAGTGTGGGTGGACATTCAGGAACACGACACCAGTATGGGTCGACATTCAGGAACAAGACACCAG